CTTTTCAGAAGCCAAACACATTATTCACTATAAGCTATAGCCTCTCTTTAATACTGTCTGTGGTAAATATTCCTTTCAAGCCTGTCCTCTGCTCTCCCTGCCTATTTTCAGTATCAGCTCTTGTTATCACAGCATGACCATGAGTTGGGTTTCTTGTCAGCTTATAAATCCCAGGTCTCACTTAGTCACTGTCTAGCTGGGTTTTGAAAGTATTAGAAATAGTAACATTTTGTTTAAATGGTCTGTGTTTTCAAACTATCAATACTCTTCTATAAGCCTGTCCTCTTTCATGTTTCCTGTTGCCTTGTTCTTTGTGCCATCTGTAAAAGCTTTTGGTAATGATCACTCTTCAAAGTTGTGATGGAAATTATGTCACGTTTGAACTAACGCTGCAGAACTGATCAAAATTACCTGCATTCAGTGAGGTACAGCTAAATGCTCTTTGAAATCCGTGATGAATTGCTATCAATCCATTTGATGCCTCTCTGCTGGTAGTAGTAAGCTGTCAGATTTTTGATTAGCAAAGGAAAGGTTAAAAGTCCTAAACTTCACAAAGTATTGTACAGTTCATCCTCTGCCTTTAGCAGCCAAAGCCTTGATTTCATAAAAGAATGAAATAATGCAAACTGCCAGCAATAAGGAACAGGTAATTCAGTTAGGTCGACTCTCCTGGAGCTTAAATTTTCATTTCAGAACAATATTCTTTCCAAAAATAATTTGATAAAATTAGGACAATAATTTAAAGCAATTTAACAAGTGATCTTTTGATGGTATCAAAACCTATTATTAATTTAAACCAATGTATTGAATCCATTTCATTGTTGTGTACTTTTAAAAAAATATTTTTATTCTTGTTTGGAATGAATGAAGAAGAAATTTTTAAAACAATCTGGAAAGTAGTCAATTTTATATGACATTTCTTAATACACTCTTCCTGTTATGTAAAATGTTGATCAGTTCAATGAATATAAGAACAAAAAACATATCAGTGGTAAAACGTTTTCTTCAACATTAGACTAAGCAGAAAATTATAAGGTTTTTCCTTTCCCTTAGGAATCAATATACATATCTGTAACAAAACCTCTTCTTAAAAATTCTTGAATGTAGAAAATTATTCAGTTCACTGGAAGCTTGAAAGATAATTTAAAAATAAATACAGGATTGGCTCTTTGGGATCCTGTTGATATCAGCTGGTCTCATCAGGAACAAAGAGGGTAAGATAAATACGTAGAAAAAGTGCATCTGGAGAGAGAAAGAGAGAACATCTCCCAGAGTTTTGTCAGAGTATGTTTATGGTTTTGATAAATGCAATGGTGTAAATCCTAGTTAAAACTGTAACTTTAGTCAGGAGATTTTTCTTCCCTGCAGCTGTCACAAGAAACAACCATCTTGCTTACAACCAGCAATAAATTTGAAAGACAAAAGTCATTAGGTAAGAGAAATGGAGAAAAAAGCCTTTTTGCTTCCAAGGATAAACAAGTTTTTTCATCCTCTTCAGCCAACTTACTTCCAAAAAGTAAGAGACCTCAGAGGAAAAGCTAATCTCAAAAGAAAAGGTTTGGGGTAGAGGTAGATTCTGCTAATGCCAAGAACCACACAGCTGTAGCACTTCCCTCAGGTGAGATCAGACAACTTTACCACGTATCTGCAAACTCATTCCACACTTCCCCTCCTCCTCCACAGGGAAGGATTGTGCTTCCTACACAGTGCCTACGTTTCCACCAATACAAGAGACAATGTGATGCCTTCCTTTTCTCTTACTCCCCAGGACAAGCAGCAGCCACAGGACAGCATTACACCCCACGTGCCATGGCTTGGCACGGTGTGTCCACCCACCCAGGTGACAGCAGAGCCCCTTGGGATGGTGCACGTGCTGCACAGCTCATCCAAACACGGGGAGAGATCCTGCAAACCACCCACACTGTGAGAGCCAAGTGCATGGGCAGGAACAGAGTGCCATCTACTCAACGCAGAGCTTTTTCTGCACATTAAAACTGACCACTCTACGTGTGTCTGAGGAGCCCAGGGTGTTTACAATAGACCTGCTCTTGCTCTGTTATAAGCTTTAGTGATTAGACTTTGGCTTTTAAATCTAACTTTTGCTGTGTGTTTAAAGACAGCGAATGCCAGCATCTCCATTTTACACGTGAGGAGACCATGAAGCAACCTCATCAGGACAGGAAAAAGTGTTGAAGCTTGATAGTAAAACCAAGAGAAGAATCCAGGTCTCCTGATAAATGTTTTAAGAAGCCATGCTGTTGACACTGTCCTAGAGGACCATTCCCAGTCAGACTTCAACCCAAAACTTTCCCCACAGGAGCTGTATCAAACTCAACTACTTTTCTGTCAGGAGTTTCTACATGTGACTGAAGTGGCATTCTCCTGTTATCTTTTCCTCTGAGGAAACTCTGGGATTTCCCTCTCAGCAGAAAAACACTCCACCAGACCTGTAAGAGATTTCATTCACCCAGCACTCCATGCACAAGTTTCTGAGATGCTGACTCACTAGTGTCCATGAGCTTCTTTAGCAGCCCTTATGCAGAAGTAGCAAAACCAGTCCTGTAGTGGTATAAAAACAATGAATTGGCCAAGGCCTGCCTATACCACAGGCTATGGCTGAATTTGAGCCTGTTTCTGAGGCATCTCAAGATTCTGGAGTCTTGTAAATCTACCACAGCATTGACACTTCAACCCTTTGACTGAAAGTCTCAGAACACGGAGAGGAACTTTTTTTTGTCACTCAAAAAGTGACCCAGCGTCAGGCCTGGAGTGTCAGGCAGTTGGGCTAGATGATTATTGTAATAATTGCACCTGAACTATTCTAACAGTGTTAGACATTTAAATGAGCAAAGGGAGAAGGAGTCATGACTGCCTTGCCTGCCTGTCTAGAGGGGTTAGGAGGAAGAGAGCAGATCTGGAATTCAGAGTTGAGAAACGGCAGCAAAGGGCCTCAGACAAAACCTGTACTCAGCTGGATGTTAAAAAAGAGCCTCAGTATATCCCCATCCCACTTCAGATTTGTGGCATCTAGAGGGGGGCTATTGTGGGATGGCTGGGGGACAGGATCTGCCTCTCCCTTACCGTCTTCTTTCACAAACTTCCCACAGACCTTGTCTTTCCTCACAAAAGGACATCACTGCAGGGTACATTGGGTCATTAAAATCCATCCTGAGACACAATCATGCAGAGAGTCTATGTGAGATAAAAATGGAGGGACATGAGAAGTTGGACAGAAATGAATAAAACAAACCCCTTGCACGAACATTTGAAATATTTCAAGACCATGAGAAAATTTAAAACTGTTGGCTTGTATTTGCCTGCATTTCAACTGATGATTCTATCAGTGTTTAAAGCATTTGCCACACAGAAAACTTAGGAGAGAAATCTAAAAAAGAAAAAAAACCAAACCGCCCCACAAAAAAAAGCCACAACAGATATTTTACCATATTTATTCATTTTTTTTACCATGTAATTGAGAGATGGGCCAAAAGAAAATTCAAGGAAAGGCTAATGTAGGAACTAGAAGGAAAGAGAGCAATAGCTATCTAGAGCCTTACAAAAATAGTCATAGGGGGGTAGCAGAAGAAGAGAAAAAAGCAAATATATATGCACCAGGATAATCCACACCTGCTAACTTCTAGGGCTAAGTTTGGGTTTATTTCTGGAGCCCAGGCCAGTTAATCAGCTGTCTTTGTTACTGACTGATGGCTTAGAAAATCTCTGCCTTTGCAGCTGTGTGACTGTCAAGTATGGAGTCTTTTTTTCTTGAAGGAGAAATACAAAAAAAAATTAAATCTGTACCCTGAATGAGGGTCAAAAGGGCATGCAGGGATGTAAAAATCACAACCGCACAAAACTGGAGCCAACAACTTTTTCTAAACTGACCACAGGCATCTCTTTTTATTGCACTGACTAGTAAATTTATTTTCATTATTCAAGAGTATTCACCTGATTATAACTAATCTTTTTGAAGTACCTTATCAACAACTTCAGTAGTTCTCATAACTTCTCCTTTTATCAAGTCTGAAAATTACTTCATCATTCTGCAATTGCTTGACCCTTATCATGCATCCCTTACAAAAGAGAATCCCTTCCAATACCTCCATTTTTTTCCATGTACAAGCTGATTTCATTGGAACAATGAATACTCCACAGTTCTGGGATTTTTTTCCCCCAGAAACTTTATCAGAATTCTAACAGGCCGTGGAGAAAAAGTCCAAAAAGTTGCATCATTTCAGCGCCCTGGATTGCTCATTAACTGAGCTAAACAGCACTGTCCAAGCATGCTTACAGATTGCAAATGAAAAGGACCAAAGGAGAGAGGAAGTGCAGTGCAAACTAAAATATTCATCAATACATAAGTGTAAGTGCAAGCATAAGTAACAGTGCATTTCACTAAGTGGTTTACTTTGAAACCTTCACTAACACAGACACAAAGGTTTTTCCTCTTTCCTGAAAACCATGGAAAAGGTATTTCAGCACTTTCTCTACTTTCTTCAATTCAACACCAACAACTGGAGTTAAACACTGCTTTACATTAAGCCTTTCCTCCTATCTTTATAATTTCCTGGCTTTCCCTCCTTGTTAAAGAAAACATTAGGTACCAAGGCAATAATGGATCAGTGTCCACATGACTGGACACATAAACTGTCCCTCGAGGTCTCCTCACAGTGGAAATAAAAGCTGCCTTGCTCAAGTTTCCTTCTTTCACTTGAGATTTTTTCCCTCGGATGCCAGCAGCATCTCATCCCTAGAGGGCAGCCAATGAACACAGCTCCAGGCACAAAGTGCTTTCCCTCAGGCTGCAGGATTTATCACATTTAACCAGCTTGTCCTTTCTCTAACACAAGTGCAGACAAACCACTGTGACTGACAAGGTTTGGGTCCTTTCAGTAGCTTTTTTCCAGCTCCTCACTGTAGGGCTTCCATAATCCACCCACTCCCTCAAACTTAGGGATGGTCTTTTGCACCTCTTCCCACCGGTACCCAAAACCTCTTACCTTATGATGACAAACATGACCAGGGAGTTTCCCACCAAGCCAACAACAAAGACCACCGAGTAGACAGCGGTGATGATGATGGGAATGGCGGGGGAGATGCTGGTGTGGTTGTGCTGGCCGTCCCCAAAGAGCCCAGTGGCATTGCTGTCATAGTCTGCCCAGCCCGGGAGCCAGCTGCTGCTAGTGCTGGGGGGTCGGCAGGGCCCTGGGGAGCAGGTGGAGTCTGGCTCCTCACGGAAAATCTGTATGGGGGCATCCATAGGGGTACAGTCCCCACGGGCAGGAGGGAGACAAGGAGGAGTGCACACAGCAGGAGGCAAGTATGCTGGAAAGAGGGAAGAGAGAGAAAGAAATTAAGAGAAGTATTTTTACAGCCACAGAACATTAAGACCTCTGAAATTTGTGTGTATTAAGGGGAGCTCTGCTGTGATGGGAACTGTAATTTGCCAAGCAGAGATTTAAGCAAATCACATTCATATTAAATGATTTCAAGGTTTACATCTTGCTGTGTAATGCTGCTTCTCCAAGTGCACAAGGAAAGTTTTCCTCCACTTTCAAAGGTTGCATAGTGAAGCAAGCCAGATGGGAACAGCTCAGATCCACCCCCACACTTTAACCCTGTCTTTCCCATCTTTCATATTTTAAGTCAAACTCTATCCTAACAAGGGCTCCTGATTGCCTAAGCTCTGCTATAAAGGGGAAGGAGACAGAGAAACCCACCACATCTCTGTACATCTGCTTTAACATCCTGCCCTGAGTTATATTTTCCTGATCCCATACCTGCTTTCATAGAAAAGACACATTAATGACAAAAAATACCTTTCAGTCCAGGAAAAGAAGCGGAGTCCTCAAACAGGTGCTCTTGGCAGGAAAAGAAAAGAATAAAGCTGCTGCGCTTGGCTCCTGGAAGTGCCACTGACCACCTAGGACTTTTGGATGTGAGGCACCTGCGCCCTCAGAGAGGCGTGCTGGCAGCAGAGCCGGTTCCCAGGCATGAGCTGCATCGTGCAGCAGCAGCAGTTGCTGCTGTTCCAGCTCCCACCACTTCGCCTTTTCTCTCTCAGGCTCCCTCTGCCTCCCTCTCGCTCTGCCAGGGCTCCAGCAGCACTCTGCACTGATGCACACGTTCTCCACTGTCTCTGTCCCCGCAGCTCAGAAGCTCACATGACTTCTTTCTAAACACTGAGATGCAGATAAATGAAAAGAAAAGCAAGAAATAAGTTCTGTTGTGAATGAATGCTTATTTTAATACCTTTTTCCAAGTTTTCTTTCCTCAATTCCCAGGCCTCAAGAAATAATCCTCTTTGCCTTATTGAATCCCACAGGATTTCAGACTAGTAAACACTGAATAAAAGAGGAATTTTAAGTTTATGTGCTTTGCCTGGTCCATCAGCTCTTTTATGGCTTGACTCCACAACTGTGTGTCCAAAACATTTCTCACTGGGTAGCTGTGCCCCTGATCCTTTGCACCTGCAACTCCAAAGTCAGAAGCTGGCTACCAAAGAAGAGAGGGGCACCCTAATTACTGTACAGTTTTTTCAAACTGTCCCACACTGTGTGAGAAGCCCAGAATTCCCTGTAGCATTTTATTCTCCCAGCTGCAGCCAGAAACAGGGAGGTGTTGTGTACAGAAATCACAGCCCTCGGAGCTCATCCCTAATATACTCCCTCAAGCAGGAGTTAGCAAGGCACCAATATGTGTGTTCAAGTATCTTTTAACTTGCACACAAACCTTGAAATCCCCACCAGAACTAGCTCTAAATGTCAAATTGGCAGAGAATAGGCAGAGTCTGAGTTATTCCTACTCCTTTGGAAGAGGCTGGGAACAGCCAGACTGGCTGCATCTCAGTGTGCAGCAGGAAAACCAGTCTCTGGAGAGAGAGGAACTTCCTGTGGGTTTCCTTCAAACTTTTCCAATCTTGAAACTTTACTTCATGCTTCTCTTGTTGAGTGTCTGTGATGCGACTGTTTTCTATTCTAAACCAATGTTTTTTTCTAAACCTATAATCAAGAGACTAAATTATGTCAGCTCTGAGTGAGAAGTCACGTAGGAGGCTTAAAAGGTACAGAACCCCCTCTCTTAGAGGAAAAGGCTTGCTCAAATGTGATAATGGCTTTGACTGTGGTCACTGTTTTCTCCAGAACTACAGTAACTGCTCATGATCATGTGTATAGAGCTGTCTAAAAGTTTCACATTTAATAATAATGAATAAAAATGCAAATAAAAATAACAAATGTGTGACAGAAATGTCTTTGAGACAGGAACATAAACCTGAGAACTAATCATTTTTTTGAAGATTAGGTAGATCCTAACATAAAATGTACTCCAGTTGTGGTGTTATCCTCTGCAATTCATGGTCTCTTGCCCATGTACTGAAGGGAAACTGTTTCTACATCTTCTCATAAATAATTATACTGGCGATTTTCAACTGCTTAGCATCTTCCCCAGAACTTTTTGCATTCTGCAAATACAGGACAGATTTAAGATAGCAATGTTTTAGCACTCATTGATAATTTAGCTCTTATGAGCAATCATTTTGTCACTCTCCAATTGCTACAGGAGGATCCAAAACTTCTATATGGGAAAGGAAACCTATTATTGCTCTGAGTAAATCTACAGCAGAGATGGCACACAAAAGTAAGATAAATAGCAGACTCACAGCTTTTTGAAGCACCAACGGTTGGACAGTGTAAGTTGCTCATTCTCTAGCTAAATTCTGCACTGAAACTCTCCACAGATCTTAGAGTTAGCACAAAAAAGATGTTCTCACAGTTGTAGTCGCTGGCCATTCATGGAGTTTGCAATGTAATTACATGGGACTGGAATGAGGTGGAGTTTGACCACAACTCTGCAAATTATATGTTGAGCCAGAGGCAATGTTTAAGTTGCTGGATGCTTTTTGTTTATTTGTGTTCCACGTTGGAGACCCAACTTTGGCTCTTGGTTGCTGTAGGACCTTGTGATACAGTAGAAAGAAAGTTCTTGGCTAAGGGAAATGGGTTGTCTTTTGAAAGTCAAATCAAAATCATATGCACCTTTAAAAAATAATCTCCTTTCTTGCATTGGCTTTGCAAATGAGAACCTGAATTTCAGGATTATCAGCAGCAGCTGGTCTCACTGCGGGTACCAGGAACAACTGCCATGATATTGAAAGGAAAACTAAAGGCAGAGGGAGAAGTAGTGTGCATCACCATCTTCCTCTCCTTCAACCCCTGACTGCACAGTGCCTCTGCACCCTTCCCAACAGTCCTGTGGAAAAGGGCAGAGTGTCCTGGAGTCACAGGGCAGAGAAAGGCAGGGTGACCTAACCCAGACTGCCCACACACCCTTTCTCTGCCAGAAACCCCTGCTCCCTCTAAGGGCTTACATAAGACAGAAGGCCCTGCTTTCAAAGGAAAGTAAGGAAATATTTAGAGAAGAAAGAGAGCACAAAAAAACCACTGCCTCACCTCTCAGCTGCCATTTTCATCCAGTAGTGCTCTTACAAACACATGGCTTGCATGCCTCCCAAGTTTTTGCTGTAATACTTTAGACCCAACAGTGTTCACCTCACTGGACTTTGAGAAACACAGCAGAAACGACTTGTACTTTTTAAATTAATACAAAGCTATACATCAAATTCCATAATTATATAATATTGTTTAAGTTATAAATTCCGCTCTCAAAACTGAAAAAAATATCACATTCAGCTGCCTGAAACCTAGGAACTACAACATGTGCATTTACACAAATTTTTACTTTCTCCAGGCTCTCTGCCTCAATTAAAAGTCAGCTATACAATATTGCTAAATATAAATGGAAGGGTAAATATAAACTGGGAATTTTGTATCTGTGAAGCATTTTCTTTTACAATCCTAGTGAAATTCTTTGAATGAGTAAGAAACCTGGGGGGAGGGAAATATGTGATATTTAACAATAGCAGGTAGGAAGGGCTTCAGCACTGTCTTTTTCCTTACCAAAAGCTAAAGAGCTGCTCCAATCAGCACAGCATTTTAAAACCTTAAAGATGTGGTGGGACATCAATTCAGCCCTGACTCAGAGGTAAGAATGATCCACTTTGAATCATGGGCATAACTGTGCAGCAGTTGTCATCTGCTCACCATGCTGCAGCACACAGCAGCTCCATCACCTCAGCACACTCAGGCTTTGAGTGAAAGCTGTTTAATTCCTGACACTGTTTTCCAGAAAACCATGACCCTTTATGGGTTTCAGTCAAATGTGCAGGATAGGACAGACCTTGAGGTTCAGCCATGAACTGTAACACTGAACACTTTGGAACAGGATCATCTCCAGAGATCACCTATTCTAGAGGCTGGAGAAGAGACCACGTGAGTTAAGTGGAGCACGCTATCAAGATGCTTCTTCAGCTAATATTTGTTTTTACTACATGATTAACCAAAGGCTACAATGATAGTGAGCCTGTGTAAAGGTAGCAGATGCTGGAAACGCTTTCTGGTGGCTCCAGTTGCCAAGGAAACAAAGTTCTCTTGTCTCTCTGCATCCAGAAATGTTAGCTCTCTGTGTGAACACAGCTCTCGGGAAATGGTGTGTTCTATGCCCTTCAAAAGACCTGCAAGGGAGAGGAAGGGGCAAAAAAGAGATGAGAAAGTATATGCAATGCTACTCAAACAGCTCTTGTTCACATATTTTACAGCAGACTAAACATTCATCATAAGACTTGTGCTTTGCATTTACTTGTCAATAACAGAAGTTCATGTTACATATTGAAAAAAAATTGCTGGTGCAGACCTGCATTGTGACCTCCAGAAACCAGCTCAATAAAGTGCTAAGCACTGGGATAGCTTCTGTCCCAAGAAGAAGGTGCTTCTTCCACAGAAAAGTCCCTGGGTGGTTATGAAGAGACCAGCCAACCTCAAACTGCCAGCTGCAGGGAGGACTGGGGCAGGCTTTGAAAGGTTTCTGACTCTAGAACTTTAACAACGAAGGGAGTTATACAGAGAAGAGCTAATTGGCAGTGAGGAGGTCAGTGGTGGGTTTAAGGAGCTCAGAAGATCCCAGCAGGAAGCCATCTGCCTTGCTCTGCTGTCACCCTGTCTCCCCCAGCAGCACTTGTGTCCACAGCTGGCCATGGCATGCATGCCAGATCCCTGGAGCAGAGGCAGAATTGTCAAAGCAAGTCACCACTTTGCCATCTTCCCTGCATTTCATTTCATCAAGATCCTCAGCTGGATGGAAGTTTTATAACTTCTCACTTTTCTGGAGCAGGCCAGAGCTGTGAGTCCAGAGGAAACAAAAGGATGCTTAAAGCAGGTAAATGTGAGCTGCAGAACAACTTTTAAAACTTCTCTTTAAAAGAGAAAATTGTGGTATTCTCCAGATATCTATATAATGATACAGATATCTGATCTACAGACCGGCTCATCTGATCTGATTTTGTTTTGTTTTTAAACAAAAAAAAAAAACCCCAAAAAAAAAAAAAAAAAAAAAAAAAAAAAAAAGAAATCACGTAAACCAATCAAACAAAAAGAAACAATGACAATGCAAAACAATTATGTCTCTCTAATTATTATTTACAACTACTTCTCCTATGGGCATTAACAGTTAATCATCTTTCACAGCAAGTTGGTGTCCCAGCACGTGGAAGCACAACTCTGTTGGTAAGTGGTTGCACTGTTTGCACTGTTCCAGGGAGGGAATGGGATCAGTGAACACAACTTGAACTTCCCCCCAACTTTGGTTCTGAGACAGGAGATGATAATGACATTCAAAATTTTGTGGAAATCCATAAAAACCACTTTAAGATTAGCCTCTTTGTTTCTTTTTAAGATGATCCCAGTGGATTGTGTGGGGTAAGTACTGACTTTTCCCCAAAGAGCTCAAGATCCTGCAGCTTCTTCTCTTTACCTTTTTAACAAGAAAAGATGGATGATTCATTTCCAGGAAGGGTAAGAACTCTGTTGATTATATGCCAATGATACCTAAATCTTAATCTTCTTTGCTTCATACTTAGAACTGTTTGTTGATTTATTCTAGTGCCTGGCAGAAGGAAGAGTGAAAAATGATGTAGCTGAAACTAGAGAAAAGTGAATTTTTCATACAGCCCCTAAACCTTGCCCCTCCCACCTCCTCTACCTCCTGTTTTTGGCACCTTCATACATACATAATTAATGGCTTAAAGACAAGTGTTGTGATGAAAGACGGGTGAATTTCAGAATAGCTCTCTGAATAGGGGTTGT